AAGCCCATGCTGACTGGGCCTGATGGTTGCATTAGTCTGTAAATGCCTTTCAATAGTACCCAGTGTGATCTCCATAATTTTTCCAGGAACTGAGGTTAGATTAACAGGTCTGTAGTTGCCTGGGTCTTCCCTCACACCCTTCTTGTAGACTATAATAACACTGGCCAGCTTCCAGTCAGCACAGACCTCTCCGGATTCCCAAGACCTTTGGTAGATGATCCAGAGGGGTGCCGCCATAACATCCACCAGCTCCTTCAGAACTTTGGGATGAACCCCATCAGGCCCCATGGATTTGTCAACATTCAGCCAATACAGCTGGTCCCTTACAATTTCAGTGTCCACAAATGGAAAGGCACTGTCCCCCGCAATCATGGTGCTCTGACTCAGGGCACCAGGCAGCCCGTGGTATCTGTATTATTAAAGACAGAGGCAAAACCCACATTGAATGCCTCCCCGTTTTCTTCATCCCCATTAGTCAGATTACCATCTTCACCAAGTATCATCTTATTCTGCCACTCCTTAATGTTTACTTTAAAATATACGTCATCCTATAATGTATTTGGAAGATAATCAGTAGTGAAACTTTTCATTTTAGATTAGCAAAACATTTAGATTATGAAGGTAGGTTCCTAGAAAAACAGAGCACAAACAAAGATAAATCTAAAAAGCACAAAGTAAGTGAAAGTTGATGTCTATGTGCTCATGTGGAGGTGGGGGACACAACATAAAAAACTTTTTAAAATTAAACCATAGCATGTTTGACAAGATAAGATATTTATTCACCAGCAGGAGAAGCAGGCCTGCTTGGAACACAAAGGCACCAAGACTCAAAGAGGTATTTCTATTGAACACAGCTCAGGAAGTCAAAATCATACATGATGGCAAAGTGCAGAGGACATAAAGAGCACACTCTGCCAGACTGGAAGAGCAGTATTCTAGTCCCACAGAACCCGTAGCAAGATGAAAAATTCTCATCTGTTATACAAATATCTCATCTACCAGCTTCTAAGGATAAATGTCTCAGAGTATAGTGGCTTGTAATGAAAATACTGACATCCTAGTTAATAACTATGCTGCTTAATTGAGAGAGTTTTACACAAAACATGACTGTTTCAGGTTTTTACATCCAAAAGTTTTCAACAGTTCTCCAACTAATTTAAACATCAAATTAACTTCCAATTAGTTTACGATAGTAAAACACTAATAGCCCTTTTCTAAAAACATCTGCACAGCGTTAGACCACGTCAGCTGGTACAAAAAAAAACTTACCATGTGCAGTAGCTCAATTTCACATCCCACTTGTGAAAGTACAGTAAGTGCTTGGTAAGCCTTTAATTCTCCAGGCTTTGCTGTTAATATCTAACAAAATGGCAAAGAAAGAGCATTTTTGTTGCAAAAACTAAGATTGCTTCTTTATCTAAACAATATCTTTATATATATAACAAGTGGCAAGAAATTCATAGTTAAGTCTAAAATACCAAGGTGAAGTTACATTAGCCTCAAATACATTCTTTGTGATATTTTAGTGCATCTTGTCAGAACGCATGATTAACAGACATTATGATAACATATAGTTATCCATTACTTGGATAACTAAACGGCATAGGAAATTCCTGCTCATACTTTCTGATCCCTTTTAAGGCACAGCAGTTTCTCATAGAGGAGAAACAGGGATGATATTTCATCTAAAAACTGTAACATGGGCAGAGTTAGCAGCTCACACTGATAAGGTAATGTTCCCAATAAGAGACACAAGCAGAGCAAGCCAAACATCAGGTCACCTCACTGAATGTTAAGCAGCTTGCAGTCATCACCCTGATTAATACTACAGATCAGGCAACTGTTTGGGCAAGAAGAAAAGAAAAATCTTGAGGTTATTCTCAACAGGTCAAAGAAAGAAGTAAATCGTAGCAGGGAAATTTAACTTCTTTTGACAGATTTAGAGTCCCTCATCATATGATCAACCAAAAATAAACCAAACAAAAAGGAAACAACAGTGCCCACTAAAAGAAGGTTCCAATTGCTTTTACTTCAGTACACAAGTCTCATTTAAGTGGGTTCACCAATAATATCAGAAAACTTAATAAAAAAACACAGTGGCTGCATTATATGAACAGATGGACCCCCGTTTGCTCAAAAATCTGGCCACTAAAAGCATACAACTTAAGTGGCTATTTCAGTGGTGTCCAACTTGTCATTTTGCAGAAGAATATACTTAAGACTTTTAATTTTTTGCAGTAGTGTGTTAGACACAACAGAGGTTGTCTAAGCACACATGGAAGTGTTTGATTACTTCAAGTGATTAAAAGTTTGTGGCCCTGTATGAACCTAACAGTTTCAGAGAAAGAAAAGGTACCCTTGAACTGTAAAGTACAGTTTCAGAGGTTTGGGACTGCATAGATTAGGAACATATAACCTAGAAAGCTGCTCTGCACTTTTGTGTGCAGAGCCTTAATAAAAAAGTGTGTAAATCACTCATAAATTGCCTCAGGTTTTTTTCAGTACTGCATACAAAACTGGCTCAAGAGGACAAGTGCATCTCCCTGTAATGGTATTTAGTTAACTCTGAATCCTCTTCACAAGGCATTTTGAATTCAGTCTTCATTGACCATTTCCTGCAACTACCAAACAATTTTGTTGCAAAAGCAGATTACAGAATTTAAGCACCTCACAAGTTACAACATAAAGCAGCTAGTCTGCTGCTACATATCCTTCTCAAGGACCGGTCTTCACATTCGTAAGATTTCTGGTTATGTGACAACAGAATGTGTCTTGACAGTGGTATTAAGGCATAAAAAGAACAAGTAGGAAACAGACAAGACTTAAATATTCCCACAGAAAAAAAAATTCACCAGCAAAAACACTAGCTATACAATATAAATGGGTTTGTGTTTTGTGAAGAGCTACTTACTACCTATAAAATCCCTTACACATACTTTATACTCTTTTTCACTTATGAAGACGTTGACTTCTACTCTTCCATATCTGTATATGGAACTGCATTCATACATGGATAAAACAAGCCTCCAAAGCATGTTCCTTTCCTTTTTTTGTGGTAAGATTCCAAACATTTTGACAGGTACATCTGTGAAAATAGTGTGCAAAAATATCTTAAAATTTTGCAGCATGTACTAGACAATCTCATTAATGCTAACATCCAGTCTACAAACAGTTAAGAAAAGAAGGTCTGTCGGCTCATGTTGTTCAAGAATGAATACAAGTCAAGCTTTAGTCAAAGCTAAGCCCAGTTTGCATTAGACTAAACTTTTAATAAGTACAAGCAAATACCAGAGATTTCATATTGCTACAAGGGTTTTAGACGCTATCAAGAACATAAATAAAGCTGGAATATGGGAAATAGTCTCCATTAATCCAGCATATATATTAAATAGAACATATACATCAAGAAAATCCCAAAGATCTTGCCAAACTGCCTATGCACCCTTCAAATTTATTTGTAGCATGCGATCATATACATATACCTGCCCTCCAAGGAACTGCTGCTACACCCATGGTTTCAAAAAGTTTGTCAGAACACATAGCAGGTGGTTTCACTGGTCCAGTTCTCAAAGGATCCAGTCTGAAGAAGTCACCGTAAATTACCTTTAATTGTCCATCCAGGCTATTTTCTAGGGACTGAACAAAATTAGTTTCAGTTGAAGACATTTGGATGCAGCAACCTGTCTCGCAAAACACCAACCCAAACAAACAAACATACATTCAAGCACCACTTAAAATTGTTACCCAGTCAGTAAGAGTCAAATCTCAAAGCTGCTTCTTACAGCTGATAAAAAGAATAGCTTCCTTCATTGCCCAGGGCATTTTGGCATTTTTGTGCTGTTCAACTGGAGCTTTAAAACACATTCATAAATCAGTAAGATGTTCTGTAATGTTTTACTCAACTAAGCAAATCACTGCATTTAATTTACAACTAGAATTCTTTATATATGTAGAGAGAACGCCTTTTATATGCATCTTAAGTCAGGTGACAGTCTTTGGTTCCAAATCTCTACTTTACAGCACCGTAACACAATCCTTCTAGTACAACAGCTACAGCGCTGTCTCTGACCACCTTTGAATCCACACAAAGCCAAGGTGAACAGGAGTGGATAACACACGTGTCTTAATGTTACCAGTCAATTGCAGGATAATAGAGGAAATAACACCATGAGGTAATCAGAATGTTCCAGACCACTTTTACCATTTCCTTAGAGCTACATACAGGCTTCTCGCCTAAACATACACAACTACAATGCCTCTGATTAGTATCAGCCTCACATTTATGCACAGGAAGACAATGAACTTGAATTCCTACATACATAAAATGTCAAATCAATTGATTACAAAATAGTCTGTTGCTGAACACACAATGTAAAGCCAAACAATACTTACTAATTTCCTTTTGATCCAACAGTTATTACACAACTGTAAGTTAATTTCTTATTTTCCCTTTGATTAAGTTTTAGAAATGTGCTACCAAATCAAAAGTGTACCTGTAAGTTTGGAAGAAAAGCTGAGTTACTTTCTAGAGCTACCACTCTAACACCTGCATTGAGCAGAGTTCGGGTCAAGATTCCAGGACCTGAAGGGAGGGGGAAAAAGAAGAAGAAAAAAAGTGCATTTTTTCTAAGTGATTTCCTTCGGGCTTTTCCTAACGCAACACTTGAGACATACCACCTTCAACAGGAGACAACTTGTGTTTGTTTAAACGCACTTCAAAATAAGAGTTAGAAAAAAGATCCTCACGTAGCCTGCCTGAGATTACTCAGTGAGTTACACTAAGCACAACATTACAGTTAGATACTGTGGAACATTAGATATAATGCTTCAAATATTTCTACTACTTTCTGCCGACTGAAATATGCTTTGAAACCTTTCCCATATGATTGATACAGTTAAAATAACCTCTGCAAAAATGTAAAAAACCCTACTAAGTAACTGCAGAAGGCCAGCTGTGTGATGGCCCAGTCTCACGTGCTTTCACTGACAGATAAAGTTGGTCTACAAAACCAAAAATATCACCTCAACAGAAGTCTGCATCTCTACTTAAGTCTCTACCAATGTTTTAACACCAGTGTCTCAAGTCTCCCGACAGTACTCGCTCGTTCCCCCAAAAAGCTCTGCATAAATGGATCCGCCCCAGGGATACCGCAGTGCCGCGACCCCCAGACGGTCCTGCCGGTTGCCACCGCCCGCCCCGGGAGGACACCAGGGCAGCCCCCAGCACGGAACCTGCCCCGCAGCGCCGTCACGCAATGGAGCCTCCACCCCCGCCCGAAATCCCAGGAGAGGCAGGGCCCTGCTCCCTTCCC